TAAGTGGGGAGGGGGAGAAAAAGAGGGCAGGAGGGAGGCAGGGAAAGAGGGAAGAGAAAGAGCTATAAATTATCTTAATTGATGACAATTCTTCTCTTTGCAATGTGTGAGAATGAAATCGTACATCCAGTCTCCATCTCTTTCCCTAAGTAGTGAGGAAAGGTTTTCTTGCTATACCAGAAATAACTCAAAGAAGTAAATATTGAAGATGTAGTGGGAGGATGATCAGGGAATCCATTGTCCATTGCATGTCCCCAGTCCGTAGATTCCATCCATTCTTGACTCTCCTAGACTTTTCTCCATAATGCCTCCATGCCTGGTACCATATTTCACCACATAATCGTCGCACCCTGGGTGTTGTTGTTGTTATTGTTTATCAATCCAAAAATTGGCTTTCATTGCGTAACTGTCGCATGGCATGATTCTGTTCATCATGTAGCTTGAAAGGTAAACAGAGCAGCAATGTATTCACCAGTGGCATATGGATATGCGTTTATCTCTCATGCATTGCTAGCTGTGAGCCTAGAATTCTCAGTACACATGCATTGTCAGTGAATTTCTGAAAGCTGACTTGCATGATTTGTTTAGAGAGCTGCAAGTACTAACAGTATTGTCACTCAACCCAATGAAGAGCCGTAGGCACAAGGGGAGCTGGTGGGCAGGGGAAACTGCCAGGAGTAAGTCACGTAGCATGGTAAGACTTGCAACTTCCCATGCTAGCTAAACTGTACAGTTCATCTGCCAGTGATACAATGTAGTAATAAATGATTTTTAAGTAATATTGGCACAATTTTTCAAAAAGCTTCACGTAATAGTTGCACCCCACTTTTTTGCAAAAAAATTTGGCATCTAATTTGTGATGTTTATGTGGTGAAATACAGCACCTTCATCTCTCCACTACTTCCCCTTTTCAGCTCCTTTTTCATTTTTAGGTGTTGTCTTTTCACATTAGAATAGAAGGGAATTCCCTTGAGGGGCAGGGACTATATTTTGTGTGTGTGTTTATTTGTATTCTCAACATTTGGCACAATGCCTGGCATACAGTAAGCACTTAATAAATACTGATTTGACCACTTGCTATTACTGAAATTAAGGCAAAAGAGAGCTCATGTAAGATAGTATGTTTATGGCCATGTTTCAATGGAATGAAACTCTTAAAGTCAAACTGGGGCACTGGAAAAGCCTGAAAACAAAAATCAGGTGGCTTATTATTTCTGACCTTTGTATCTAGACTTTAAAGTGAATGTTCAGATCTGATTCTGGTCACTATCAAGAAATATTGACCAGCTGGGTGGCGCAGTGGATAGAGCACTGACCCTGGAGTCAGGAGGATCTGAGTTCAAATCTGGCCTTAGACACATAACACTCACTAGCTGTGTGACTCTGGGCAAGTCACTTAACCCCAATTGCCTCACCAAAAAAGAAAAATACTGACCAGCTTACTGAATGTTTCTCATACTACTATTAGAAGTCCCTACAATGTCAACTTCTTTTTTAAAAGACCTGCTATTCACAAGCAAAAGAGGAGGTGGTAATATTAGTGAGAATATTTTCTCTGTAGATAATAAAATGAGGTTGTTGGGTTAATGAATTATTATTTGTAAAGAAAGATTTCTAAAGGGTTTTTTTTTTTTGCATTCTGCCTATCAGCAAAACTCAGTTTTTTTCTCCTCTTCTGTTCATATCAGCTCAAGATACAGCACCAAGCCTGGAATCAAAGATTCATCTTTCTGAGTTCAAATCTGGCCTCAGACACTTACTAGCTGGGTGACCCTGGGCAAGTCACTTAACCCTGTTTGCCTCAGTTTCCTTACCTGTAAAATGAGTTGGAGAAGGAAATGGCAAACCACTCCAGTATCTTTGCCAAGAAAACTCTAAATGGGGTCACAGAAAGTGGGACAAAACAAAAATATGTATGTATGTATATATCTTTTTTTTTTTTGCGAGTCAATTGGGGTTAAGTGACTTGCCCAGGGTCATACAGCTAGTAAGTATCATGTGTCTGAGGCCAGATTTGAACTCAGGTCTTCATCTTAAGACCTTGGGCAGCTAAGTGGTGCAGGGCTGGATTCAGGACAACTCATCTTCCTGAGTTCAGATTTGGCCTCAGATGCTTACACTAGCTGTGTGACCCTGGGCAAGTCATTTAAAAGTCGGACGTGAATGAAAAATGACTGAACAACAATAACTTCATTTTAGGAAAATCATAGATTTCTGGAAAAGTAGGAGTTGGGAGGAGAGAGACATTTATCATCCATTTTAAAAAATCTAGGTCAAGCCTATGTAAAGAAATCCTGATATACAGAAGAGGAAGCTGGGGGTGGAGTAGGGCAGTTGTTTGCATCCTAAATGACTCTTTGCTTTAGAGAATTCTCTTCAATATCAATCTGCCCCTGTCCATATAAAGTGTGATTTGCTTCCAGCACTTAGCACAGCACCTGGCATAGAGCAGGTACTTAATAAATGCTTATTGATTCATTTATAAAAATGAGTTTCACATGCAACTTTCCAGTAACAGTCCCATTTTGTAAATAATGGAATATACAAGTGCAGTCTTAACCCTTCTGAAAATTGACCTGGTGTGGTTCTGATGCAAATGCATCTCAGCTATTGGACTTCCCTAGCCAAACTGCTAAACATCAGCTTGGAAGAGCACCAGTTTCTGGTACTTCTCTAAAAAGGGTGGGTTGAGGCCTCCTGAAGATGCTTCATTATTTATTTTGATCATTTCTGATAAGAGGTAACCAAGCCTCCATAGGCCGCCATCCAAGAGACTTGGGTTTCAGTCTCAAGGTTGCTCCAGTCTGTCTGTGGCCCCAGGCAAGTCCCTCGTCTCCTCCGTCTTGGTTTCACAACCCTAATGTATGGGTTATGCTGATTTTCATAACTCAGAGGTAGATTGAGAGGAGTGATTGATGGGGCTGGTAATGCTTTGAAGATGAAAAGTGCTGAATTTGATGACTAGATTGGCTTCATGAAGGATCTGGCTCTTTTTCTAACACTCATGAAAGCAGGATCTAAGTGAGAGGTGTGCCATAAGGCCCTGGTGTCAGGTTCTGATAGCGCGGCAGGTCTGTTATTACGTGGCTTTCTGATATGTCAGTCACACTGTCTGATGACGAGGGGATGACTGTCGGCACAGGGCAGGCCTTTGCTTTCCTTTTTGCCCCTCTCCAATCCTTCTACCACAATGCCAACAAACTGAAATCGCTGAAGCACCGACCCAAGCTTGTCACCCTTCCTGCTTCAAAACTTTCAATGGCTCCCTATTGCCCCTAAAACAAAGGACAAAACCCACAGCTTTAAGGACCTTCACAGGCTTAGCTTAGCACAGCACCTGGCACATGGTAGGCACTTGTAAATGTTTTGTGACCAACTGAAGATCTGTCTCCGTCCTAGCATGCTAGAGTGGAATGAGCACTCACTGTGTAATCAGAGATCCTGGGTTCAAATCCTGCTTCTGATCCTTGGCAATACCTTGAGAAAGTTACTGAACTTTCCTTAATCTCAGTTCCCTCATCTGTAAAATGAGAGGACTGAATTTGCCAGTCTCAGGGGTCCCTTCAGGTCGTACTTTACATCCCTCTTTTTCATGCATCGCTGCAATCAAACTGGCCTATTGACTCTTTCCTGAACATAACACAGCATATAGATTCCGAGGTGGATGCAAAAATGGGGGTGGGGTAGGAGAAGAGAAGGGAATAAGTATTTATTAAGCACCTACTGGGTGCCAGGCACTGGGCTAAGCACTTCCCAAATATTCTCTCAGTAGATCCCTAGCTGGGGTCAAGTTTTGGCTCATATGTGGCCTTCGGCCAATCTCTGGGCCTTAATTTCCTCATCTGTAAAATGAAGGGGTTGGATTGATGGCCTCCAAGTCCAGAATACACTCCCTCCTTTTCCCCACTTCACAAAACCCCTATCTTCCTCTAAGACTTCCTCTAAGTCTCCTCCATGAGGCCTTCCCTAATCTTCCCCGTTGCTCATTCTCTCTTCCTCTGGAAATACCTTTAGAGTATAGATTTTATATTGTCCTCTCTGTCTAGGAACGTATTGTACCCCTCCCCCACCAAGAAAATGTTTGCTCCTTGAGATCAGGGACTGTCTTATTTTTGAATCTGCGGCACAAAGCACATAGAAGGCACTTTAATATATGTTAAATAGCAATGAACTGTATTCATGTCAAAATGACACCAAGATGGCTGATGTCAGCCTGCTCTTCCATCCCACTGAGAGTTTACTCCTTTCCATTGGCTCTCACTGGGTGACAACGATTGGCCAACCAGGTGTGGGCACAGCCAAAGAAAAGCAGGTCTATTACTCATATGGTGAGTTCAGAACTATTTCCTTTTTTAAAAAAGACATGGCTTATGATAAGCACTGTTCAAGTACGTGGGGTGCTTTATGAGTGACAAAAAAAAATCTTCCCATAATTACCCTGTGAGGCACCATGGGCATTATTAGCTATTTTATAGGTGAGGATGATAAGACCCAGAAATGAGGTGACTTGCTCAGTACCGCACACCAAGGGTCATTGGTTTTTCCCACTATCACAGGGGATCTTAACCTGGTGGTGGTTTGTTTTTAAGAATCCCACCTTCATTTCAATAGAGTTCTTCGTTTACAAACATTATCCTGAAAAGGGCTCCATAGACTCCCCCAGACTGCCAGAAGGTCTACACCATGCTGCCATAAAATGGGGCCCTATTTTATACCTGCCTCATGAACCCATGCCTTTAACATACCTTAAGATTGGGCTGAAAGAGAAGCCATCCAGACCAGTCTCCTTATTTTACAGCTGAGGAGATGAAGGCCCAGAAGGAATTGAGTGTTGTCCAAAGTCACATAAAGAGGAAGCACTCAGGGTGGGATTTGAACCCAGGTCTTGCTCCCTATTACCATGGAGGAACCAAAGCCCTCCATGTGACTTTCACTTCTTATATAGTTCAAAGGGTTTTAGCCATTTTTTCTCAAAATCATTCAAAACAACTCAGGCTTACCTTTCGAGGCTTCACTTTATCTTGTAAATCATACTGGCCAATTCCTTTATAGCTGATCCCGAGCCACCAAGGAATCCCTTGTTTATCCTACAAAATGGGGGGGAAAACCTATGAGAAGCAAGTAAAGGCAGCCCTTCAGAGACGGAGCTACTCTATCCTTCAAGCATTAGCAGCTTCGACATATAGAAAACAAATCCATCCTTTTAGTTTTCTGAAATCATGACAATAATAGCAGCAGCCAACATTTATAGAGTGACTTAAAGTCTTCATTCCCTTTAGTCCCCCTTTAATGCTTGGAATAACAAAGCATCATTATTATTTTGGCCAAACAGACTTGAAATGCTTAGCAATTCAAAGGAGTATGGAAGCTCTTTGGCTCCTTGCTCTCCCAAAGAGAGAGAATATAGTAAGTGTTTAATGAAGGTTTGCTCAGTTCAGTACGTACAAAACACAGTGCTGGATGTTAGGGAAGCCACAAGCAGGGTGTGCTGGAGCAAGCTCCGGCTTGGGGCTTGGGGGAAGTTGATCATTAAATTTCAGTGTCAGCATTTACACCTCAGTACTAAACAAAAGCTACGAAACAGGGCTTGATTTATTGCTTTCTTGACTCTAGACTTGGAGAAAATGTTAATAATGCAGATAATGCATGAAACTTTAACTTTCAAGCTACTTAACCTTAAAGGTATGCCATGCATACGTTTTTTGAGGTCAGTTGTTAAACATTTCTCGGCACACCTCTGACAAATTAAATATGATAGGGTCACAGCCTTCAGAGAGATTACAGTCTAGTAGACAAGCCTCACTACAAACAAAAACCAGTTACTCTTTAGTAACCAGAAAGGATTATTTTCTGATTAAGTCAGGTAAAATCAGCATTAGTTTTTACTTTATAGCCCATAAATCTTAACAAATTATCCGTTGTCATAAAATCCATGGACATCTACTAAGAATCTGACAGAAGAGGCATTAGACAATAACAATTCATTTACAACAAACTGAAAATTATTTTTATATCCAGAAACACTCTGAAAATATTGTTTTGACACATTTCCTAGGAATAGGGCTATTACTTTTAATACTTCTTAATAAATTAAAAAAAACAATACCTGAGATTCTGACATTTGTAAAACTGTTTTGCTGTTTAGCAACTGAGAAAAGTTACCTATAAAATTTTGTCAAAATATATTTACCTTCACTCCATAGTAATGGACTCCATAAGTAGGCAGAGCTTCTACTATTTTCATATACCTGTAGAAAATCAGTATATTTCATTATTTTTGTAGAAATCAATTCTATTAGAGTAATAAAAGTAAAATTATTTCAAGTGACCACTGAAAGGTACAAATGACATCGGGGTGTGATATGCCATTGGCCAGCTTTCCTGTGCATACTTTATCGGCCCCCACAGATGTGCCAGCTGCCATGACTAACGTCTCTTACCCAAGTTGTAATAAAATAAAACTTTCCGGTTAGTAATGTATTTTGGCTTATCAAAATTTCAGGAAGTTGAGAACAAAACTTCAATTTCAGAAAGCCCTTTAGAACTGTTCTTTCTGACGTATCAAGGAAAGGGCTGCTTTATAAAAAACATGGAATATCTCTGGTATGGAAAATTTCCCTATTATAAATCTAGAAGACAACCAGTTCTTGGTGATGGTATGATTATGACTGAACAAAGCAAAGAAGTATTAATGAAAGTTATCACACAATATTTATGCTAACAGATTTCAACTTGTAGCGCCATGTTCCCGGTGACCAAAAGCCACCATGTCCCGTGTAGTGATTCTCCAATTTCGTTTTTACTCAAAGTCAAAAGTGCTTTGCAAATTCATCCATCCAGTATTTATATAGCGCCCAGTACAAGGCACAGTGCTAAAACCTTTAGATGATACAAAAATGAGTAAAGGAACCATGTTGGCATAGAGGAGGTTTGTTCAGGTAGCATTGGACCAGACAGGCTTTGAGGTATAACTTGGGGAATCTCTGCTTATGCAATCTCTGCTCTGGAGGTTTTATAACAGTGAGGGGGATAAGACCAGCCCATAAATAACTGTAACACACATTTAAAAAATGATAAATGTGAGGAGAGGTATAAATAATGTGCTTTGGGGATTACACTAGGGAGGGAGCACATCTGGTTAGTGATGGAGGTAGAAGTTGTGGCAGGCTCTGAAGGATGAGAAGGATTATAACTGACAAAGATGAAGTGGTGGCCTTCTAGGTGAAGGGAACTAGAAGAGAGAATTTGGACTCAGCGTCAGGAAGTGACCAGGAATAGATGTGAACATCAGCATAAATAAAACCTCAAGGGATTATTCTATCACTATTAAGTAAGAAGCACTTGAAAAAGGTAAATCTGGAATCAAAGGACCCAAGTTCTAATCAGAGTTCTGCTGCCACTGATAGGACCTTAGGCAAGGCTCTCTACTTTGAAGCCTTAGGTTTTTTTTTCTTCTTCACAATGAAAAGAATAAGACTAGGTGATAAAATCTCTTCTGGTTTTATAGGTTGTGGTCATATAATTTTAGGTTTGGAAATATTGATTACTTTATTCAACAAACATTTATTGAACATCTACTATATGAAAGTCATGGTAGTAGGTCTCTCAGTTTTCTCATCTGTAAAATGGGGATAATAATAATAGTAGTAGTAGTAGTAGTAGTAGTAGTAGTAGTAGTAGTAGTAGTAGTAGTAGTAGTAATACCTCCCCGGGTTGTGAGGATAAAATGAGGTAACATTTGTAAAGCACTTTGTAGACCGATAAGTAGTTTTTATTATTGCTGGTGTTACGATACTAGTTTTCCATAATTGGGTAATGATAATGGCTACAACATTAGTTCAACTGACAGAATGAAAAGCTCATTTTAAGCATTTTAATTTATTCAAAATCCAAGTACAGAATTCACAAGGACTACCAGGGTGGGGTGCCTGTTTTTATAAAAATGGATTTCTTGGTGTAGCATTGTGGGTTGTATAAGAACAGCAAAGGAAAGTAATTCAAGAGATAGGACTCGAGTCTGCAAATAAAACATCCTCCCTTTAGTTCCCTAAAGTCCAACCATGTCCATGGCTCCTTGAAACTCTTCACAATCATTCGGAAAAATGTGCTTTCTTTTTCTCTTCTCCCCAACAAGCCATCCCTTGTGACAGACATTTAAAAAGACAAAAACAAAAACAAAAAAAAAAGAACAACAAAAAAAACCCCAAGATGAATTCAACAAACTAATCAAAACATTGACTGTTTTTGACAGTATACACAACATTCCCCACCCATAGCTACAGCCTCCTAACTTCAGCCCAGCAGGAAGGAAGGCTGTATTTTCTCATCTTTTCTCTGGACCTAAGCTTGGTCATTCTGATGACAGGGTCTTTTGCTTTTTGATACAAAACATTTAAGAATGCTTGCCTTCAACATTCCATTTTGCCCTTGATGATACCCTATAATCCTCAAAATTATGAAGCTCGCCATCAGAGGAAAAGCCCATTCTATTGACAGGGAAAAATGAGTTATTTTCCAATACCTTGACTACATGCTATCAACTAAAAGGAACCTCAGGTTTGATCTAAGTTTATCTTGCCTGGGTAGTAGACACACTGAAGAAATGATACTGAAAATATGAAAAGGACTTCTGAGGCTATTACATGAAAGGTGAGTAATCTGATACTGAGATTAAAAAATCCTTATAGGGTAGCCATTCTGTCATGGATAAGAAGTTATCCTAAACCACTTTTTGGTTCTACCTAAAAAGACCCATCTCACAGCTATCTCTATTTGAGGGTGGGAGGGCTAACCTCAGAGTCCAAAGGTATGGGGAACTCCCAGTGGAAAATTCCTCCATTGATGTCAATCAACAATTCATTTATAACCCAAAGTCTTGGAGAATTTCCTCAGGCAGCCATAGGGTGGGTGCCTATGTGCCTATGGCCCTACCCAATGGTTAAAGGCAATCTCCAATCTTCCTTAACAGATGACTATTCCATTCTGCTCTCTTCAAGAAGGGACAAACCACAACAATCCCATGCTACTTCCTCACCAAAAACAGTGCATATCCCAGGAATTGTGTCCAAAAAGGACAGGGCTCCCTTGGACCCAAAGACTTGTCAAAATACCAACTATTAGAAGATCATAGATTTACAGCTGGAAGAGATCCTGAACCCCTGATTTTACAGAGGGTCCTGAGAAATAAAGTGACTGGGTAAGAAGTAGATAAATACTCTGCTAGGAAACCTTGGGTTAGCACCTCAGTAACCAAGGATGAAGAGGGGCAGTATGGCATACTGGAAAGATTACTGAATAAACAAATTCATCTGACTGAAGGAACAGAAATAAGGGAATAGAAGTAAAAAGAGAGAGAAGCGGGTTTAGTAGCACTATATGTCAAAATATACAACAAAATGGTATTCATAAAAACTATTTGGTACTGGTAAGAAATGGAAAAGTTGATCAGTGAAACCGATTGGGTACACAAGACAAAGAAGCAATCGAACATGGTAGTACATTGGGGTAAGGAAAATACTGCCAAGAAAACTGGAAGGCAGCCTGGAAAAAATTAAGTTTAGATCAACAAATCACACCATATACCACAATGAACTCCAAATGCATACATCTGGGCAGCTAGGTGGTACAGAGAACAGGGTATGAGACACTTGGGAGTCAGGAATGAGTTCAAACTCAGTCCAAGAAACTTATATTTAGCTGTGATTCTGGTTAAGTCACTTAATTTCTCTGAGCCTTAGATTCCTCATCTTTAAAATGTGAATAACAAGAACAGCTACATCAGAAGGAATTGGGCAGCTAGGTGGTACAGTAGATAGAGTGCCAAGCCTGAAATCAGGAAAACCTGAGTTCAAATCTGGCCTTCACACACTAGCTGTGTGACCCTGGACAAGTCACTTAACCTTGTTTGCCTCAGTTTCTCATCTGTAAAATGAGCTGGAGAAGGAAATGGTAAACCACTCCAATATCTTTGTCAAAAACCCCCCAAAAGGGTCACAAAACATCAGACATGACTGAAATGATTAAACCACAACAAAAACCTCAAAGGCTTGCTGTAAGGATCAAATGAGATAACATAGGAAAAGCACCATGCAAAATGAAGCATTATAAATGATAACTACTACTATTGTTGTTAAAAATGCCCCAGATCACTAATAATATGAATGCATATAAAAATAACTCAGAATTCCCACCTCACAACCCTAAGATTGGCAAAGCTGACAACGAAGAAAAATGACAACTGTTAGAGGGGATGTGGGAGGACACACACCACTACGTTTACTGCTGGTGCATCTGTGAAGGACTTGTACGTACAAAATATTTATAGCAGCATTTTTTGTTGTAGCAAAGACCTGGAGATAAAGAAATGGTTATTAATCGGCAAATGGCTGAACACATGAATGTAATGGGATATTATGTAAGAAATTATGAAAGGGCTGGGCACAGTGGTACATTCCTGTAATTCCTGCTGCGAGAGAGGCTGAAGCAAGGGGATCTTGGGCTGAGGAGTTCTGAGGAGCACAGGGCTAAAGCTGATTGTTGTCCACACAAAGTCTGGTATGAACGTGTGGCCCCAGGAGTGGTATGAGGGGAAGGAGTGGGAGACACTGAGCTGCCTATGGAGGAGTAAACTGGCCCAGGTTTGTTTCCATGCTGATCAGCAGTAAGACTGGGAAGGTTAGGGGCTGCTATATTTCCAACCTGGGTGGGATGGGGAGACTCAATCTCAAAAAAAAAAAATAACAAAAGGAAGGAAGAGAGTGAGAGAAGAAGAAAGGAAAGAAGAGAGGAAGGAAAAAAAGAAATGAGGAAAGGGATGGATTAAGAGAAGTTTGACAGGGCTTATATGAACTGATGCAGTGAATGGGAACTAGGAAAACAATGTATACAAGTCAACAATGACTGCAACATTGTAACTATAAAGTAAAACAACTGTGAATACCAAAATGAACAATCCTGACTTCAGAACAGTGATAAAAGATGCGTGCTTCCTGCCTCTTGGCAGAGATGGGTGGACCAGGTGAAGAGTGAGACAGACATTTCTAGACATGGCCACTTTGTGAATTTGTTTTATGTAACTATGTATTTGTTGCCAAGGAGGGCTTTAAGTATTTTTGGGGGGAAGGAGAAGAATTGGGGAAGATAAGTGAGATTTTAGCAGTGATACTAAAAAAAGAGAGAGAGCATCAATGAATCATTAGAAAAATCAATAGGAAAGAGCAAAATGAGGTTCTGAAGGGGATATGATCTGGGAATTATTGGAACTGCCATTTTAAGTTTTAAGCACATAAAAAACCTAAGCTATACATAGCAGAGATTCAGTTTTACATATATAATCTTATTCTAATGTTCTGTATATTGTGAGATGTCAATGTTCATTGATGTTTGTCAGGTTCATAACATTAAAAAAATTTTTTTTAAAAAACAATCAAAGAAACTGGAATTTAGGAACGTGGGTTTAAATCTTTAGGGCTGCAAGTGACTTAGCTGGGTCAAGTCAAGTCAAAACATTTATTAAGTGCCTACTATATAGAATTTGCTAGGTATTATGCTAAACCACTGGGAATTCAAAGACAGGAAACCTTCCCAGCTCTCCAGGAGCTCACAGTTTAATGGGAGGTGACAACGTTCAAACGACTAACTAGTGCAGGTACTAGTACTGAGGGGAAATTTTTTTGCTGAGATTTGAAGGACTGGGGAAGCCCAGAGGCAGGGGACACAGCCAGCTTTGTAACCTTGGGTAAACTGTTTGAACTCTCTGGGCCTGCTTCCTTATTTATAAAATGAAGGGATTGGACAAGACAATCTCAAAAGTTCCTTCCAGCTCAAAATCCTAGGAAAGACTCTTAAGTATAACCAAATGTCCTTTTAAAATGATGTTCTTAGCCAAAATATACAGTCATATTTTACAAAACAACAGATAGCATACTAAGAAACCAACTGTAGAAACAGGACAGCTAATCTTATTTGTTTCTTGAATAAGTAGGTCATGGTCAAGGCATACTGTAGTAGGCGTATTCTGATAAAACATGAGATTAAACTGAGGAAAGGAGTATAGAGTGGCCCAGATAGTGTCTGTGATTTTAGCTATTATGATATTACAAAACAGTGTCTTGGTTTTCTCATGATCTGTCCTTCATTTGAGGGTTGGTGGTGGGGGAACATGTAAGATAAATACAAAGCAAAACAACTGGTAAGTTTCACCTTACACCTTGCAAATTGGCAAAGATGACAAAAAATGGGAATCTTCATTGTTGGAGGGATTGGGGAAAGATGGGTACACTAATGCATAATTGGCGGAGCTATGAATTTGTCCAACTGCTCTGTAAAGCAATTTCTAATTATTCTAAGAAAGTGACTAAAATGTTCATTCTCTTTGGATGGACTGCTAGGCATCCCAAGAAGGTCAATGATTAAAAAGATCTTAGACACAAAAATATCTAGAGTTGTATTTTTTTTTTGGTGGTAGGAAACAAAATAGACACCCATTGATTTGGGACCTGCTAAGGCTAGTATGTGAGTATAACTGAATATTGCTCCATTCTAAATGATGACTACAGAGAAATATGGGAAGACATGCAAACTGATGCAAAGTGAAGTAAGTAGAACTAGACACAGCTATCTACAATGACTCCAGCAATGCAAATGGAAAGAAGTGCCACCAAACAATTGAAATTGAATTCTCTCACCTCAAAAAGATCAAAACAATTGAGGATGACATCTACTTCCCTAGTTTCCCAAAGGTGGGGGATAATGGGCATGGAATACTAGATATAATTGGATGATTAGAGTTGATTAGTTTTGTTAAACTGCTTCCTCTCCCCCCTCCCCTTTGTTATAAGAAACAATTCTCTAGAAGAGACAGTAGAGAGGGATAGATTAGGACACCTAGGTGATACAAGAACAACTTTTTTTTTTTAATTTTAAGAAATAAAGGAATTGCCTTAATGTCAAATTCAGGACATAAAATTAACTTCTAACAAATAGATAGGAACTCTAATAATGAAAAAGAAATATACCATGCTAAGTGATAAAAACTAATTGAGAATGTGCAATACAAAATCAAAATGCCCAGTGTACTTTCTACTAAACCCCCTCCCAAAACACCACATTCTCTAAAAACCTCCCAATGAACACCTTGTACATGAGAAATAATGATTATTAGTAATTCAGAGAAAGTAGCGAGACTCGTATTAAATGGTAACAGAGTAATAGTGACTACAAGGGAAATGAGAACACCACTTAAAAGCAGCTAAACTGGAATTAACTGCAAGGGGACCAAGAATTTTGGTCCCTGAAAACAGATGATAAAACATTATCTGAATATAGAGAGAAACAAATGAAACATATCTTTTCCTCTCTATAGGAGTATGAGCTATTAAATTTAAGAAGGGAGGAGGAAAGGAAGGAAAGAGAGGAAAATAGGAAGGAAATAGGAAGGGAGAAAAGAAAAAAGGAAGGAAATCTTTCCCAATTTATGCTTCCCTGCCATGAATAGTATGATATATGGTTGACTGAAAAATTTAGTGACAAATTATTTCTAATTATTCAAGTGAATATCCAAAACAAGGAAGTGATAACTTCTCTGTAAAGAGAGAGAAAAAAAATACTCACCTAACAATTGCTTGTCCTCGAGTCAAACCTTTGATTTTTTGATAATGTTCAATTACTCTGTCCTCACTGTAAAAAAAAAAATCAATAAAAAAATACATGAAGCTTATGCTTTTTATATAAGGTAATGTCTCAATTTCCTGATCCCCAAATCAGGGAACAGAAAACCTTTATTTTATTAAAACAAACACACAAACTACTCTTTAAGGGAAAGCCCTTTGCAGATTTGTCAGGGTGGCTCAGACAGAGAAGTTTTGCTTCTCCAGCAGGGGGAAATCCCATTATAATGCCACTTCCTGGATGAGACCAGAGGGGCAGAAAAGGTTCAATGGGAAAAAGCAAGCTGAATATTCTACCCAAAGACAGGTCCGGCATAGCTCCAGAAAGATTTAGGTATATTAGCATTTCTTCTCCATCCCCCCTTTATTTCTCCTGTAGATCTTCTGATAAAAACCTGATTGTCAAAGAACAGTCCAATTCTCCCTCTTGGGTCAGTAAACACCATTCTTCTTTGTATTGGGAGTATTCCTCACATTCCAAAGTTTTAACAGGAAATCCCTCTCCCAACCCCACCCCCAACTCAGTTTCAGAAGAGAGATAAGATCCTAGGTGGAGAGCTGCATTAGCTAACCCGGTGATTGGTTTGAGTTGGTAGCTTAGGGTTTTACAGGGTTTTCAACCTCACTGCATAACACAGAGCAATTATCACCATCCTGTAAGTCTTAACTAAGTCTTAACATGTAATTTTTTTGTTTCCATTTTCATAGTTTAAAGTTTGGAAGAAAACAAAATTCAGTCATTTATCATGAATAATGGAGGGAGATTGCATATTATCTAGAAAATGATTCTATGGATACAGTGAAAATACAAATAAGTAAACCAAGTCCAAAGATAAGTGGGATCAAACTCTGCCTGGCTCCACATATCCATTCAGTGGCCAAATCATATTGTTTCTACTTCCAGAACATTCTCGAATCAGACCCCTTCCCTCTACTCACATGGCTAAACACCTTAGTTCAGGTTCTTATCGCCTCTTACCTAGGAGATTGCAACTGCCTCCTAATTGACCTGCCTGCCCCAAGTCTCTCCTTACTCCCAGTCCAACCTATACAGTGTTGGCAACTGATTTTCCTTCAGTGAGTTCCCCTCCTCAGTGAATGCCAGCGGCTCCCTATTGCTCCAACATAAAACATAAATTCCACTGTTAAGCTTTTAAAACTTGTTGCAACCTCTTTCTAACCTCATCAGACATGACTCCTCTTCCCGTACTCTGTGATCTAGCCACACTGCCCTTCCCTCTCTTCCTCACCGCCAATCCTCTATCTCTTGTCTTTATGTCTGCCCATCCTTCATGCCTAGCATGCGCTCTCTCCTTCCTTTTACCTGCAAACATACATCCCTCTCTTCCTTTAAGATGCTGGAGATCGGGGGCAGCTAGGGGGTGCAGTGGATAGGGCTCCGGCCTGGGAGGCAGGAGGACCTGAGTTCAAATGTGACCTCAGACACTTGACACTAGCTGTGTGACCCTGGGCAAGTCACTTAACACCAATTGCCTCACCAAAAAAGAACAAAAAATATGCTGGAAACCTTTCTGGCTTCTTCCTCTCCCAAATTGTGAGTGCCCTCCCTTCAAAACTACTTTATTTTATTTCATTTTATTTATTTATGTGGCACTGATTTGTATATGTTTTCGCTGTCTCTTCAATCAAAATGTAAGTTCACTGCAAGTCGAGCTTGCTTTTGTCTTTATATCCACAAAACAGCACAGTTCCTAGTGCTCAGTAGGTACTTAATACTTGCACATCAGTGGAGAATTGGGGATTTTAGTAGATTCCAAGTTCATTATGAGGCACCAACGTGTATGACATGGAATCTAAGAAATGACTTAGGCTTCTGGTATTAATTACTTAGAGATATTATGACATTCCCTTTGTTCTCTGCATAGTCAGACTCCCTTGGAAATACCTTGTTTGGTTGTAAATGCCACACTTCAGGAGAGACAACAGAGAGTGTCTAGAAGAAGGCAACTGAGTTATTGAAAATGTCTCAGGGGGCAGCTAAGTGGTGCAGTGGATAGAGCACCAGCCCTGGAGTCAGGAGGACCTGAGTTCAAATCCGGTCTCAGACCAAACATTTGACACTTACTAGCTGTGTGACCCTGGGCAAGTCACTTAACCCCAATTGCCTTAAAAGAAAAGTGTCTCAGGCTCATGACATGAACAGGCTTTTAAAAAGCAGGGTCATGGACTCCTTTAAGTAGTCTGATCAGGTCTAGAATCCCCTTCTAGGAATGTCTTTTTATGCATAAAATAAAATACATAATATTACAAAGGAAACCAAAGGTTGGGGTGAAAAAAAAGATGTATTTTTGTTTCCTATTCAAGTTCATGGACCCCTACTCTATTAATAGATCCTTCAGGACCTCTAGGTTAAGAACTGGGGGAAGTTCTGTGCAGGAAAGAGAAGATAGAGAAAAGATGATTGCTATCTTGAAATATACATAGGGCTCTGATGTGTAAAAAGGATTAGGCTTGCTCTAATTGACCATACCGGGTAGAGCTAGGAGCTATGGAACCAGTCTAGGTTCCAAGGAGATCAATCTAGGCTTGGTGTCAGGAATACCCTTCTTAGAACCAGGAGTACCCAAAAAGATAATAGGCCACCTCAGATGATCGTGACTTCTATAGCACTGGAATTATTTAAAGCAAAGGCTGGAGGGTCACTTGTCTGGGCTCATAGCATCACAGCTCCCAAAGGGCCACAGAGACTGCACAGTCCAATCTCCATTTTTAACTGATGAGGAAATGAGGCCATGACAGGTTAAGTGACTTGCTCACCATCATACTGTGTCAGGGACAGAGAGTACTATGCAGCCACTGATGTCCCTTCTTAGGCTGATATTCTAAAACACGGATACCTGGCCATACTTTTTATTAAATTTAATACAATCAGGTCTTATTATAGAGTGTTTGCCCAGCTACCAAGCATCCTGTTCATTTAATAGCAAGTAGTAAGGTTCTTTTCAATACTTTATAAAGAATTGCTGGGGCAGCTAGATAGTACAGTGGATAGAGCATCAGCCCTGGAGTCAGGAGGACCTGAGTTCAAATTTGGCCTCAGATACTTACTAGCTATGTGACCCTGGGCAAGTCACTTAAAGAAAGAAAGGAAAAAAAAAGAATTGCCTCCTAGCTTTCTGGGCTTCAGTTTCCTCATCTGTAAAACAAGGAAGTTGGAATAGGCAATTGCTAAGGTCTCTCCCTTTCCAGTTCTACCACCCTATGAATACACTCAATTCTTTTTCACCAAGAAATTTACCAGTAATCACGACATAGCAATCCTCAGCAAGACTAGATCGAAGCCGTGGACCTAGAAAAGGGTCAAGCAGGAAGAGGAATTTCTATGGGAAGTCCCAATGTTTACCTGCTTTCCTTGGTAGCCCATTTTTTTTTTCTGAGGTCAGGCATCATCTGACCCTTGATGTCTTCCACAATTTTTTCTATTTTCAATCCCATGAAAAATATTCAGCTCTCAACAGATTTGGGTGGGTTGTCGGCCTTCAGTAGACAGTAAGATCTTTGAAGGCAAGGACTCGTTCTTTTCCAGTTTTGTATCCCCAGCACTTAGCACAGTGCTTGGCACACAGGAGGTACTTGCCAAATCTTTACTGACAGACTATGTTTGCATCTTGACGTGACTTACCAATAAGCAAGGGATGGGTGCTCTTGAAGCGTCTGGGTAGGAAATGCAGGCAGGGTTTTTAAGTCTTTCCTGGCATTGTCATCACTAAAAATAAAAGCAAAACACAATGATCAGCCTCGTGGTCAGAAATAAAATGTTTTTGATGTTTATAATCATGAAAGCCACAGCCTCTGGGAAATGGCTCCTTTAGGCAGCATCGTGTCATAAAACCAGGATTCTTTGTGCAGCGTCATGTGGGCAAAGCTATTCGTAAACAGAAAGAATGAATAAGTCAGCAGGATGAAGTCGAAAGAACTTCAGCTGCGGCCTGGAGGGTCAATACTTGTCTCTGACATTTACAAGCTGTGGGACCTTAGTTGAATGACTTAATCTCTCTCAGCCTTGGTTTCTTCATCTGTGAAGTAGGGATAATAATACTTGCTCCATCTACCTTGAAGGGTAGCTGTGAGGACACCAACATGATACACATAAAGTGCTTTGCAAACCTTAAAGGCAATATGCATGTTAGTATTATTATTAATAATGCAGTCATCCAAAAAGCATTCATTGGGCATCTATAATTATTTACATAACAACACAAGAGAGCAGGATACAGAAGATGTCTGCAAAATGCTTTGTAAATCTTAAAAGTACTGTATCAGTGTCAGTTAGTATTATTAAGGACCCTGAACTAGGAGCTCAGCCTTCACTTATTAAGACACATGAGACAATATAAGGCAGCAGGTCAAACAACTCAGTTCAATCCAACATGCGTTTGTAAAGCACCCAGCATGTACCCAGCACAAGCCAGTGGTATTGATAATAAGTACTTCAGGAGCTCTGAGCAGTAAGAGATTGATGAGGGTGAGAATGATGAGGGAAAGCTTCCTACCACTCTGACGCTTCATCCCTTTGCAAACTGGCAAAGATGATAAAAGATAGGTACACCCATATGTGGTTGATCTAATGGTGAACTGGTAGAGTTAAAGTGGAACCATGCTAGAAAAGTGAAGAAATTGCTTGTAACCTTTGACCCCAATCCTAGGGATACAGATCCAGGAGGTCCAGGAGAGAGGATCATATGGGACAATATTTGTAAAGCACTTAGCTGTGCCTGGCATAGTACAGGCACTAGGATAAATGTTAGCTATCATCATTATTACTATCACTATTATTAGTACGAAAGAGCAAACATATACCAAAGAAAATTTAGAGGGATACTTTCTGTGGCGGAAAAATACTAGAAACAAAGTGGGTGCCCATTGATTGTGGAATGGCTGAACAACATGACTGCAGTGGAATATGACTGCATTGTAAGAAACCACAGGTATGAGGAACTTGGGGAAACTTGGGAAATCTTGTTTGAACTGATGGAGAGAAGCACACAGACAAAAAGACAATGTACCCATTCACCACAATAATATAAAAAAACAAACCCAACAACAACAACAGCCCTAAAAGACATGGGAATTCAGATCAAAGGGATGATCAGTTACGACACCACAGGTCTGATGATGTAAATACACCTTCCTTGGAGTAGAAGGTGGTGCACTACAGGTGCCAAATGGGGCATACATCAGACGTGGTCGTGGGGTCTGCTTACATTACTTTAAATGTGCTTGGTAACAAGGGATGGTTTGGGTTTTGGGGAAGTGACAGCAAAGGAAACAGAAGCCCAAAAACAACATTAAATTAGTTTTGAAAAAAGCTTTACAGAGGAGGTGGGCCTTGAGATGGGTAAGAGGTCAGATAGTGAGGAAGAGGAGGGCAAATATAAAATATCACCTATGCCAGCAACAAAAGTGACAGCTCAGCTGGCTCGCTGAGCATGAGACGAGGTTGATGGGTAATAAAGAAGGCTAATGAAGAATGAGAGAATTTTCATTCATTCTGTCACACAAAAATCACCACTTCCAATTTTTCTCTCTTTTCTCAAAGCATCATGTCAAAAATCTGAAGGTTGCTGTGAGGATCAAATGAGATAACATTTGGAAAATGCTTAGCACAGTACATGCACATAATAGGTGCTCTATAAATACTCATTCCCTCCCTTTCTCCCAAAATCTGAGTTGTTGCCTTTTCTTGAAGTCCTAGGGTCACCTTATGAGCTGCAAGGTACTTTAGAGGTCCTCAAGGCTGAAGGAGTCAGACTCTTCCAAAGTACTCCCCAAACCAAGTTAAGATGTAACTGGGAAATAGCAGAATAAATAAAAATACAATAAAACATGCATAATGTTAATATGTGGCTTTCTAAGCTGAAGGGATCCTGTTTCCATGTCAGTTAGCACCAGTGCTCCAAGCCAGCCTCCTCTATTTTTATGAGTAAAGATACTGAAAACTTTTCTGTTGCTGTTCAGTTGTTTCAATCATGTAGGACTCTTCGTGACTCCCTTTGGGGTTTTCTTGACAAAGATACGGGAATGGTTTGCCATTTCCTTCTCTAGCTCATTTTATAGATGAGGAAATTGAGGCAAACAGGGTTAAGTGACTTGTCCAGAGTCACACAGCTACTAGGTGTCTGAGGCTAAGATTTGAATTCAGGAAAATGAGTCTTCTTGACTCCAGGCCCAGCTCTTTATTCACTGTGCCACCAAGCTGCCCCCTTATTCAACCCTGAGATAGGTCAAATGTCCATTCAGGAAGTGGCAGTTTCAGAGCCTCTGGTTCAAATTTATCATTTTTTTCTATTAGCCATGTGAAAGATCTGGATTTCTAAATCCCTGAACAAATCAAGTTGCTTGGAACTTACAACTTCATGAGCACAAGCATCTCTATTCATTACAGATCTTAGTGGGATGATTTGACAATCTCAGAAAACTAGTTTTCTGCTGTCTAGATGTCAAGATATACAATAATTCAGTTTGTTCATTTTAAAGGTCACCTGCCAGCCCACAACAGAGTTATTTCTTTTCCTTCCTAACTTATTTTATGCACTTTCACATTTTTTTACCTAAAAATGCATAAAGCATGTCTGTGAGAGTCCCAATAATGCAAAAATCTGTGTTCTTGGGTTGAAAAATGAGTCCTTATGAAAAGACATAAACATAGCATCTCCTATGGTACCAGGACCCTGTATAAGACAGACAATAGGGACAGGACAGGGATAGGACTGGTGATTTCAAGGGTACAGGGACCTCCTTCTGTATGAAGAAACTCACTCTATTGAATACAGGTCTGCACTGTCTCAGTAATGTAATCTTAGAGAGCTACCCAGAGTACATTGAAGTTAAATGAGGTTTCTGACTAATCCCTCTCAGTCTCCTATGCTGAATCTTCCTCCAAGTGCACAACTACTAACCTAGGGTATCCCCTAGGTTACCGGACCCCTCCCTCCATTTCTCCTTCAGTACAATTTCATTCACTTGTATGATTCCCATGGATTCCAAGCTCATCTCTATGCTGATGAGTTCCAAATCTACTTATACAGCCCTAACCTCTCTGCCATCTGCCAAACTCACCTCTCCAACTGCCTTTTGGATATCAGGACATCTTAACCTCAATATGTCCAAAACAGAGCCCACTATTTTCCCCCTCAAAACTCTCCCCCTTCCTTACAAACTTCCCTATTAATGTATATGAAAAAAAAAATTCTCTCTTTGTCACTTTAATGACCCAAAGGTTATATATTTATTTTCATTACCTCTTCCTTCGACGCTCTACTTAAGATTGAGTGATAGAATGTAAACTCTGTGAGGATGACCATCATCTCATTTTTGCCTTGATTAATCAGTTTCTGTTTAGATTCTTATCCTAAATCTGTCTTTTGAATCAATGCTCCAAAAAGGTTAAACTTGCTCATCTTTGTAATCAAAACAGTCTCCTGCAGTACAGCGGAAAAGGGCATGAGATTCATCTGTGAAGCTGGGAAAAGAAGAAGCAGCTACGTCACAGGATAGGTAAAGGATCAATGAAATAAAAAGTAAAGTGTTTTGCAAACCTTAAAGCATTATGTAAATGCTAACTGGTACTACTGCTACTGCAGCCTCCACTGTGGCTACTACCCTTACCCCCACCATTACTACTACTAACCCCCCACTACTACCCATTACTATTGCTACCACCATAGCAACTGCTGCTGCTGCTGCTGCTACTATTACTATTACTATTACTACTACTACTACCACCACCACCATCACCACTACTACTATCGCTATTCCTATCCCTACTCCTATCCCTACCACCACTACTACCACCACAACCATTGCTGCTGCTACTACTACTACTACTACTCCTGCTGTTATACTATCACCACCACCACAACTCTTCCTCTTCAGAAATAAGTCAGCAAGCATTCGCATGTGTTAATTCATTTGATTCTCACAACCACCCAGTGAGGTAACTAAGCTTGAGAAAGGTTAAGTGGACTTGCCCAGCCATGGTCAAATAGCTGTTAAGTCTTTAAAAGTAGGATTTGAACTCTAATCTCTGAACCCCAATAATAAGGCTCCATCCACTGTATCACCTAGCCAGGTAGGTAAGCAGAGTACTTAATAAACTTAATCTGTGCCAAGCACTGTGTTGAGCAGAAGAAGCAGACTTAAAGAGTGGTCTGGGTAAATGATTTGCTCAGGGTTATACAGGTAGGCAGCTATTTGAAGAGAGACTGGAAGCTGAGTTCTCTGTATCCAGAGCCTGTGAAGGCTGGCAGGCCCAACAGAGATATCTGCCTCCCATCAACACCCAGGAAATTAATTTACCCTCAAACAGAACATTCCTGAGCTCTGATGGAAACATAAATGTTATTTTAAGCATGCATTTGAATGGTGAGGGAATGAGCACTTGGTTTATACATGTCCATGCTGGAGATTGTTCCTATAAATCTAGATAGATCACTTGTTCCAAATGACGACACCAGAATCATTCCCACATCATGACAAGGATGCACAATTGAGATGCCTGACTCTGGAATTTTATTTGATCTTCCCCAAAGATCCTTTTAAGATCCATGACATGAAGCTGTCCAGAATCAAATAGGCTGGAATGTGGAACAACTAGGTATTTATATATCACTGGCATTTATATAGTGCTTTAAGATGTGCAGATGTGCAAAAAGTATTTTGGGTACATTATCTCATTTGAGTAAGTATCTCTGAGGGGAAGTTGACTAGTACAAGGGAAAGAATATGGTACTTAGAGTAGGACAGGCTAGTTTCAAAGCCAACCTTTGAGAATTACTACATTTGTATGATCTCAGGCTAATCACTTAAGCCCTTTGGTCCTCTGCTTCAGATTCTGTAAAATGGAGGGTGGGTGAACTAGTTTAGATGCTTTCTATAGTGTCTGGTCATTCTAAATCTATGAGCTTGATGCTATCATCCCATTTTACAGATGAGGAAATAAGAGTCTCACAGAAATTAAGTAATTGGTCTCAGGTCACACAGCTGATTAAAAAAATATTTGAATCTAGGTCTACCCCTACAGCCCAACTCCAGGACTCCTTCCACTGCTGTGACAAGAGATTTTTGTTATTTGTCCTTCGTTCTCAAAGAGGACCATGACATCAGGTAGGTGATAGCATGACATGAAAGTGAATTGAAAAAAAAAAGAACAACAAAAAAAAGAAAGTGAATTGGATTTAAGTGAGGGAGGGCTGTGCAAAGTCACCAGCCTCACTTTCTCCTCCAGAGCCATGTGGGTCCAGTAGCAAGATATAGATCAGGAAGATGGCCCTGGAGGTAGCAGGACACCTTGGCCTTTTAAGCTAAGGTCTTTAACAGGTGTGAGATTAACTTAGGCAAACCACCCATTCAGTGATTAAGGCTAGGTAAGAAATGAGGCAGAGAATGGCCTCTTTTACCTAGTCAAAAAAATCAATCTGGAAGGGGAAGACTTCTCTAACTCAAACAGAAACAGGTGTTACTTACACTCACTCTGAGACAATCAGTGTCCAAACAATGACCAAGTGGGGCTTGGCCTGGGATCTACTGTTGGCCAATCAAAGAGAGACAAAGTGATTCAGGTAATAAGGAAGGGAAAATGTTTCTCTTTAACCCTTTGCTTCCCTTTTTGTTTCTTGCATGGCCTGCTCTTCCAGTCATGAAAAATGGAAGCTCTGTGCCACTGACCGTGGAGGCCTACCTGGGAGTCACATGTGTTAACACCAGTTTTAGAAGATACATGGAAAAAGATGCGTGGTTGACTAAATAGCCCCTTCCTTCTTAAGTGTGCAAAATTTTGGGCCTACCAACACTTGTGAGCAAACAGCCACCCCAGCAAATATGTGCACCTGCTCTTGCCTAATTGCAGGCTCCCTTATTCACTCCCAGGCACAATTAGCCACCTGCCGGGCCGGGGGAACAAGCTAGTGGATGACGGTGCATGCAATTAGCAAATTGCGGGCCCTACCATTTCCTATATAAAATGCAATGTAAAGAAGGTTCTCTTTCAAGCTTTTTGCTGCATATCCCCTGAGTGGGGAATCTACAGGACAGTTAAAAAACAAATGTTTCCTAAAGCAAAAACTCAATTTCTGTGGGGATCTCAAAGCCCAGCTTCTGGATGCCTGCAATGGGACATCTGCACCTTCGGGTAATGCATTCTTTGAATATATACAAAGGTCTGAAGTTATAAGCAACATATCACCAATCTGGTTAAAAAGTATCCCAGGATTAACCTGGATAATCTCACAACCTGTTATAATGCCAATTCTGTAAGTATTAATTGGGTACAACAACGCATATGCAACCTAAGGGCCCAATGGGTCTCTTATAATAATGTCTAAAATTTTGTTGACTGGCCCTGGGCAAATGGATTTCTTTCTCCAAGCCTCAGCTTCCTCATCTGCTAAAATGAAGCAGGTGAACTAATCCTCTTTCATCTCCAACACTTCCAGGATTCCATCAACAGGCACACAAGTGACATGGGTGAAATAGTCAAGAGGAAGTTCATATTGTAAAAAAGGCTTCTCCTTGGCCTTCTGCCCATGCAATGGGCTCTCCATCTCTGGTCCCATGCACTTGTACCTTCTACAAAGGGTTCTGAACCTTTTTTTTTTTGGGGGGGGTCATGGACTCTTTGGGTTGTCTGCTGAAGTATATGACCCCTTCTCAGAATGCACAAAATAAAATACATAGGACTACAAAGGAAATGAATTCTATCGAAAAACAATTAGCAAAATACTCAAGTCTTAGCATAGCTTTAATATCAAAAACAAAGCAAGTTCATAAGACTCTAAGTTAAGAACCTCCCATTCTATTTTATTTATTTAGGCAATTGGGGTTAAATGACTTGCCCAGGGTCACACAGTAAGTATCAAGTGTTTGGTCTGAGGCCAGATTTGAACTCAGGCCCTCCTGACTTCAGGGCCAGTGCTTTATCCACCGCACCACCTAGCTGCCCCTAAGAAGCTCAATTCTACATGAATAATTTCATGACCCCGCCCCAACCCATATGCTTAGCCCTACCCCTGCCAATTTTACTTTGTCTTTATTTTGTTTATACTTATTTATGTAAGTGTCATCTCTTCTATTAGAATATAAACTCCCTGAGGGAAGGGGCTGTTAGATTTTGGTCCTTTTACCCCCAGCCCTAGTACAAAGGCTAGAATTTTTTAAATGCTTATTGATTGACTGATAGATTGCTATCCAAAGATCCCTTGCCCCATACTGATCTGCCCATGTGAAATATTTGTCAAGTCAATGGTTTTAGCCATATTTGTCCCCTCTCACCCTGTTAAGCTGCTTTTGCTGGGAGGCTTGTTAAAAAAAATCTTCAAGGTCCCTATTATTAATAATAAGAAGAACCCAAAGTTGGCAATAATGTGGCTAGGCCAACAGGTGCAATATTAACCAAGCCATTCATTCAGCACGTGTTAACACCTTGTGTTGGGCCTCAGGGATGCAAAGACAAGGCATCCCTGCCTTGAGGACTCGACATTCTCCTACAGAGGATATATGATGTTATCCCAGATAATAAGTACAAGACAGGCAGGCAGGCAATAGGCAAGCTTCTCTCAGGATACGGCGTCGGGAGTTGAGTCTGGAAGGAGAGTGGGGGGATCCAAAGAGGTGAGGAGGAAGCATCTGATCTCTCATTAAGGATGACAATCTACTTACGCTATAGGTACTAGGGAACCCAAGATACGTACTGATTTCCCTAGATGACCTACTTAACAGAAAGTTATTGATTGACTAATCCATCTGGGACACTACAGAAGACAAGTTTCTCAAAGCCAGCAGCAGAATTAGTACCTCTGCTTCTCTCATTTGAAAAAAAAAAACCCAAACCAAAATCTGCAGTTCCCAGAGTTTCCAGAAATGTTATGTAGGTTCAGTTGATGTCAGCCTCCAACTGGGCCTTTTTTTTTTTAACTTCTAACCACACTTACTGGAAAGCCTGGCAAAATGCAGGGAGGGGCATCCAGTCTAGCAGAGAGGTGGATAGTGAAGGAATCAAGCAAGCATTTCTTAAGCACCCCTGTGCTTGACCCATTTGTTACAAATCTATAAAAATGAATTTATTAAAATGCAGCACTATCAGATGCGATGTCAGGATACAAGGACAAAAGTAAAACCATTCCTACCCTACCCCCCAATGGGGAGACACAAAACCACATCCAAAGCAGATGCAAGGTCGCTTTGGCCAAGGCGCACCGACAGCTTCAGAGGGCCCAGCAGAACACCTGAGCAGACTAGCAAAGGTCTGCAGGAGGAGATACATTTTAGCGAAGTCTAGATTCACTGTCAAGTCCAATGTCATATCCTAGATTTAATGTCTCATTGGGGGATAGGGCAGACATTGGGCTTTGTTCATCTCAAAAAGGAAATGCTTAGACTCAATCATCTTTCTAATGTGTTTTCCAGTTCTAAATCTGCAACTCTGAGTCAGAAAGGTGGAAGAAGAAAAACATGAGGCCAGTGTCACACAGGCCAAAAGGGGATATCCAGAAAAGGGAGAGGGGATTTCAATGGTGTCAGTGATGGGTGCAGAGTCAAGGAGGATGAGGGCAGAGAAGACGCCACTGAGTTTGCTGATTGGGAAGTTACCCATTGGACAGTCTTTTCAATATTAATGTAGGGCGGTGAAGGACACGTGGCAAGGGGTAAAAGAGAGAAAGGTAGGAAGAAATTAAGTGCTGCAGTTACCACACTAGTGTGGTTGGTGGCCCACTGGCAGATCACAGGAAGACCAGGATGGATTGGCAAACCTTTAATCTTGTGTTTTTACTTAAAGAACTAGAATTTAATCTTAGAGCCATCACTATTAGTGATGTTAACTAATGGTACTTTTTAGGCCTCCTTCACTTCTTGGGCAATGTTACTCTATCCCTTTACAACTTTTTATCATCAGAATTTGTTTTTTAAAAGTAGTCATCTCCAAAGATTATAGAATGATAGATTTTTTGTGCTGCAAGAGGCCTTAAGCAACCATCTAGTTCAGACCTCTTTTACTAGTAAGAAGCAGGAGACCTGAGTTCATTTCTCAACTCTGCCACTGAATACCTGTGAACACAAAGGCAAATCACCTAACCTCTCAGGGGTCTCATTTTCTTCATCTGTGTAAAATGAGGGTGGATTGGACTAGATATAACAGCAACATCAGGAAGCATTTATAAAGTATCCACTATATGCCCAGCACTGTGCTAAGTGCTTTTTACAAATATTATCTCATTTGATTCTCAAACAACCTGGGAGGTAAATGTTATCATGATCCCCCTTTTACAGTTAAACAAGCTGAGACAAACTTAAAAAAAAAAGTGAATTGCCCAGGGTCAGAAAGTGTGTGAGGCCAGATTTGAACTCAGGTTCAACACTGACTCCCCTGTTCAATGAGTGCTCAATCCATCATGATATCTGGCTGCTCAGATGACCTTTAGAAGGTCCCTCCCTACTCAAATTCTAAGATCTACAATTTCTTTCCCTTACCAAAAATAAATAAAGATGCTACTGTAAAGGAAAAAAAAATCCCCTCCCACTCCTCCACCTCCGCCACTGTAAACCCTTCACTCTAGCACAAGATTCCCAACTGACACTCTCAACAGAAATGAGAAGTTAGAACTCTTTAAATGAAATCAAGAAAGAGGAGGCCTAAGAGGACTCCTGAAGTGTTAATTTTGCTCAGTTTCTATTAATATGATAAGATGGTATTCTTAATGCCTTCCTATTAAAGGAATTAGAATAATCAATCCATATTCTCTACCCTTGGCAATATGACTGGCAGTGAGATCCACTCCCACTCTCCCTCCATCTAACAGCTTCCATATGCCAAGATAGAAAGCTATACATAAAGTTCATTTGCAAGTGCCATCATTCTTGGGTGCTGATGTCAGCCAACAGCAGCTTCAATTTCTTATTTTTTTTTTAAAAAGTTCTCTCTCTCTATCATTTCACTGGTGTAAAGACATTCCCATTGGGGAACATATTTCTATACTTTCTACTGATGTCGATCAGGAACACGATTACCCATAACCTACATTCTTAGGGAGGTACAAAAAGCGACTGGCCTACGATCACATAGTTGGGCTGTGTCAAAAGCAAGACCTGAAACCAGCTGTTGCTAACATTAAGGCTGGACCTCTATTGGTCACACCACAGTGACTGTCTGGAAGGAAGGAAAGTAGGAAAGAAACAAAGAAACAAAGAAAGAAAAGAAAAGAGAGAGAGAGAAAGAGAGAGAAGTGGCATTCACAGCAGGTTAGATGAGGTAAATTGATGTTTCATTCAGAGAATGAAAGGTTGGTTGATAAATTTCTCCTGATTGCTTCAACTATTAAAGTTCCCTTGTCCCCCAAAACTACCTTGTATTCATTTCGTATATATTCTGTATATAATTATCCTACATACAGAAAATAATTTCCTTGAATACTGAGGCTGTTTCATTTTTGTATTTGTATCCTCAATGCTTAACTTAGTGCCTGGCTTATTACAGTTAGTGCTTAATAAATGCTGACTGATTGATTTCCTCAGTACTTTCTCCCTCCCAAAACAGGTCATAGCTCCTCTGTGATTGGAGTTGCTGTTACTGGAAAACCTATCACTCCATGCACAATCTAGGAATGACCCTCCTGTCTGCCTTTACGCAGGCCAGTCCGTGGACTACAGCCATGTTGCCCATCCCTGGTTCCATACTCAAGAGTCTATCCAGCCTGGCAGGACCTGGCTGAGTCTGGGCACTGATAGTTTAACTTTGAAGAAACTAGAATGAACCACACCAGAGGGAGAAATGAGGGTAAGACCAAAAGAGTGAATATAATGACTTCTATGTAAGAAACAATCCTGTCCCTCCCACTCCCTAATTTAAGATCTTTAAGGTTCTCATAAGCAAACTGAAGCCAGGGAAACAAAGAGACGTAGCCAAAAGTCATGCAAGGTCAGAGGAAGTGTCAGTATTTTTACCTTCAGAACCCAGGACAGTGTCTGGAACATAGAAGATGCTTAATATGTTGACTAACTGATCGACTGAGGTAGGATTTGAAACTAGGCCCTGAATCTAAATCTAGCATTCTTTCCATGAAGTATCTTTCAAGTTTTATTTTTAAACAACAATGTTCTATATTATTTAGCATCTTAACAGGAGACTTCCCAAGCCTTATTATTTCTACTTCTTTCAGATGAGATTATTATTAGCAAATTGTTTTTTTTTGAGTACCTGAGATCCAAAGAAGGAACACAGCGTGCCTCTCATCCTTTCTCTTGCTGGGGGCCAAATCAGTCACAGTACTGGAAAAAGAAATGTGGAAGGCCTCCCATCCTTTCTCTTACTGGGGGCCAAATCAGTCACAGTACTGGAAAAAGAATGTGGAAGGCCTCCAAGTTCTGAGGTTCAAAAATGAATGAGATGGGCTCTAAAGTGTCCAAGGAAAAGAGTGCTGGTTCTCTTTTGAATCTGAAGAATTATTATTAGTCTCCAACATCTCTAAGTTGTATTAGTGCTTTTTGTGCTTTTTGATACACTATTTTCCACATAAACTACTCCCTCACACTCAAGTAAATATGAGGACCTATGATCTTCTCCTTGTAACAAAGAATAACTGTTAGCTTTGGTGAACAGATACTGTT